CTGGGGGCCTACACCCCCCAGATTCCCCCCCCCCAGCTGTGGCTGGAAATTGCGGGGAGTTGAACTCCACAAGTCTTAAAGTTGCCAAGTTTGGGAACCACTGCCCTAAGTCATGGGAACCAAAACGTCTTATGATCTCATCGTTCAACCACAGCTGGAGTCCTGGTGACTGTCGCAACTCCAGGTGCACGGGACGTATAGTGGGGAGCAGAGGAAATCCTAGATAAGGTGCGCTTGGATGCCCTGGAGAAGGGGGGTCAAAACGCAAAGCCCACGGGCCGCATCCAGCCCGCGATGTGGTCCGATCTGGCCCATGGGGCTGTCCTGGAAAATGTAAGGGGCCGGCCGGCGTCGCTTCAGCCATGCCTACCCAATGGGAGAGGAACAATGCCAGCAGTTTAGGGAGTGGCCTCAAGACCACCTAGTCGGCCACGTCCCCCCGTCCCCCCCCCCACTGAGGTCAACCACAGCCTGAAGCGGCCCTCAATGAAATTGCGTTTGAGACCCCTGCCCCGGAGGGAGAGGGAACTCCTGTGGCTGCCATAAAGAAGAGGGGGGTCTGCATGCGCAGAAGCAAAAAATCAAGATGGCGCCACCGTAGAACCGGTTCGGGGGGCGTGGCAGGCCAAGTTACTACCTACTCAGCCGAACCGGCCTGAACCCACATCTGCTACAACATCATTGCTGTAACTACGAATGGTGGTAAGTTGAGAAGTATCTGTATGGATTCAGGCAGGAGTGAAATGTTCTGAAGTCTGCTACCGGTTCGCTTTCCTACCGGTTCACTTCGCGCACAGGGCGCACCGCAGGCAATACCGCGCAGCGCAGGAAAAGGATGAAGAAGCCTTTTCTGAGTCTGCAGAGGTTAAGTAGAACAGCGAGGAGGGGGGAACAGCTGTACCGCACGATTTAGATTCCCTAGGAACCAGGATTTCCTGCTTTCTAGTGAATATAAATCGTGATTGTTGCACAGCTGAATGTGAGAACTACCGGTTCTCCCGAACCGGTAGCATTTCACCCCTGGATTCAGGAACCATCACCCCCTTACCTACAGCTGTGGAAGGCGAAGAACAGTCATCCTTTGGAATGGGATTTTGCTCTCTCTCTCTGCGGAAAAACATGCTCAGCGTAACCCTGCCAGTCTCATGATGGAAAATGATGGGGTTTGTGGCTGTTTTGCTCTCACTTTAGAATTGCAAATTGTTGTTCCAGACAAGCCGGCCTTGTGTTAGCCAACAATCAATCTAATTTTGGTGTCTGCGAAAGAACGCTGTTTGACCACAACCGATCGGGCGATAGGCGTGAAATATTTGATGTGAGAACAGGAAATATCTGATGGTTCGTTTTTAAGCACGCAGCTCCAATTGAAGCTGGCAAAAACATGAATGTGGTGTTTGACGTGATCTAAACAAGAAGATCATCTGGGTTATTAAATTAATTCGTTTTCTGGGTTCTCTAAATATATCGGCCCGTAAAATAGCCAAACCCAGCATAAGGCACGAAGAGGCCAGAGAGAAAACTAGTAAAACTTTGCATGTTTCAAAAATGAAAGTCTTTGAATGATTATCGGTTGCAACGGTGGAATATCTGCAAAATCTCAGATAGCTGCAGGCAGTCCTTGATTTACGATACCCCTCCCCCACTGAGACCAGAATTTCTGTTTCTTTTTTATTATTATTTTTAATTTTCAAAACAAACCCAACACAAAGAATCCTCCTTCTTTACATACTGTAGAAAGTGTATNGGCCCCTCCCAGAGGAAATAAAAGAGGAGCGAAAGTGGAGTGGAGTTTGCAGGAGACAATTAGTTCGCTTCATTGGTTCGTGACTCTCCGAGACTCCTTGCCAAATTCTGCAGATATCGGCCTGGCAGCTCTCCAAGCCAGATAAGGTCTGTGACCGTAAATCCTCCCTTGAAAGACTTGGCTGGAGGTGAAGGAGCAGAATCCACAGCAAATTAATAAAAGGGGTTTTTGTCGGGACCAGGAGTTGGCTTCGTGTTCTTGGGAAGCCTCGGCTGGAACAGTTTGATCATTTCAATATGATTCAATATGAGTTTTCCACCGGGAGCCGTCCAGAGACGGACGCGGCTATATAAATAATAAAACGAAACAAAACTTTTGTCCTGGGCTCCGTCGCGCTCCTTGGATGGAGCAAGTCATCTAGCCCTGGCCCGTGGGGCAATCCGTGGACCGACTACCAGGGTTTCCCAAAGAGAAAGCCGCTTTCGGGCGTTTCGATGCCGGGTTGAGAATCGGCGGTGGAGCTGGGGCTGGGAGACAGGTGCTGAAGGAGGAGCTTCTCTTCCACAGGGGTCCGGTGGAACGGGTAGACACCGGGATGGGCCACGGTGCTACTGTCACAGGACGGGGGCCCCTCCTGCGGCAAGCCGGCCTTCGCTTCCGCCGGCTGCCCCCGTAGCTTCTTCAGCTTGTAGCGGTGGTTCTGGAACCAGATCTTCACCTGGTTGGGGGTCAGCCGGGTGAGGGTGGCCAGGTGCTCCCGTTCGGGGGCAGTCAGGTATTTCTGCATCTCGAACCGCTTCTCCAGCTCCTGGACTTGCGCTCGGGTGAAAAGCACTCGGCGTTTACGCTTGGAGGGGTTTCCCGCAGAGAAGGAAGGCTGCTTCACCATCTCTCCCAAGTAGCCGATACAGTCTGCTCCGGGCATGCTGAAACCGGGGCTGCCCATGAACCTGCAGACTGAAGGGAGGGTGGGGAGAAAGGGGCACTTAGGCAAGAAACACCGAAAGGACTGGGTGAAACCAGGCTTCATGGCGGTGATAATGCGAGAGGGATCTCGGAGTCTTAGTGGACGACCAGTTAAATTATGAGCCAGCAGCGTGTTCTCTGAGCTGGATGGGTTTCTTCCTGACATTTCATGACCCAACTAGGTAACCTCATCAGTGCTAGAAGGGAGTGGGGTTTGTAAAATGGAGAAGGGAGGAGGAGGGGGGTGTGTGTGGGGTCCTTCGTACTCTCTGAGCTTGTCGGTTTTCTCACAGACATTTCGTTACCTAGCAAGGTTACATCATCAGTGCTGGAAGGGCGTCTGAAGCACTGATGATATGACCCAGTTTGGCTAATGAAACGACCACAAGGAAAAGACCAAACTCAGAGAGCACGCGGGACCCCCCCCTCCTAATTCCCTTTACCCGCTTCGCTCGAAGTGGCCTTGAACTGCGAGAGGGATGGCAAATAAATTGGTGACAACTAAATGGATCAATAAATATATATTTTTGCAACCTTGTCTATGGAAATTCTCAACCGTTCATGTCCTGCTTGTCCCCAAAAGTGTTTTTAACCAAAAGGCAGAGGGACTTTCTTCTTTCTTTCTTTCTTTCTTTCTTTCTTTCTTTCTTTCTTTCTTTCTTTCTTTCTTTCTTTCTTTTTTTCTTTCTTTCTTTCTCTTTCTTTCTTTCTTTCTTTCTTCTTTCTTTCTCTTTCTTTCTTTCTTTCTTTCTCTTTCTTTCTTTCTTTCTTTTTCTTTCTCTTTCTTTCTCTT